CCAAGCAAAGAAGGGTATAGGAAACTTTTAAAAAAGGCACAAGAACATAAAAAGGATATTGATGCTAAGATCACTAGATATAAAAGCAAACACTGCTTTTGTCTCAATATGTCTCTGAAGATATCACTAAATTGTAACACAGTAATTTGTAGATGTAAATGATGTATCTTAAAATGTGCTGGCAGCAAAGTTTTTGGCTTAAAAATGCTCTAGAAAAATTTAAAATAAAAATTAAATCTTGTATTTTTCAAGAGGCATGCTCTCAATATGTGAAAAGGATGACCGAGTAAGATGTCTGATTCTTGGTGGTACCTATGCCCAAGGCTCCACTGCAATGGGGAGTCAAAATTACTCTAAAATGTACCAACACAAATGACAAAAACCTCAACTTCCACCAGCTATTTGCCACCAATTCTTCAGTGGCAAATAGTAGGTCCTATACTATCATTAATTTGAAGGAAATTTGATGATGAAATAGTTTGGAATGACAAGCAGTGCCCCAGAAAATTAGAGGACCCGTGGATATGTCACAGGTCTTTTTCTGTAATCTCACCTGAAGGGTTTCCATGGGAACATATACTCGGGTCTGGGAGTGTTTGCTGAAGCAGATGTTAGTGTTGCTTAAGTCTGCAGGCATATAAAAGATGGGTGGCTTCTCAGGGGCATCTAGACTGCAAAGGCAACTTTCCTTACTGTTGGCAAAAAAGGGACAGGCCCCTAATAGTTTCAAATGAAGAATGATTTGTAATCCAACCCCCCCCCCCGGTTCTGGTTAATACTGAAATATTTGAGAACTTTGGCACAGGAATAAACTCTAGACAGCCTGTGAGGCAGCTGGGTTACATAGCACTTGTTCAGAGCTGTAGCAATTCATCTCACTTAAACAGTCTCTACCTAGGTGTGCTGTAAGCCAGTTTACCATAGGGACAATTCTTTTCTGTTTATTTCACTCTGGAGGGAAAACAGGACATCCAAGGTGCTTTGAGAGAATCTATAAAAATGTCTTTTATTCAGACTCCCCTTCTGGAGCATTGTGAGATAAGAGACTAATAGCTTCTGGGGACTGCACATTGGGCGCCAGGCTGCAGGGGAGAGCAGATTCCTTACAGCAGCCCTAGGGGCACTACCTCTCTCCAGACTTTGCAGGACAGGTCGAGGGACCCTGGAGACTCTCAGGAGACGAGAGTTTGAGCCAAGGGAATTCCACCAGGCAGCACTGTTGCAGTTAAGACAAAAACCCCTTTCCTCAAATAATGTACCATTTGGCATAACAGGCTGTGTTGTACAAATGCTTGTCTTCTGACCCAAATATCCCAAACCAATTACCTTGTATAATTTGTATTAGGTCAAAAATGAAACACGTACACAAAAAAGTCTGCTTTAGCCTGAAATAATTCCGTTGATATTTGAATTGCTTTCAGTGGGACATTTGCTTTAAACCACAAGATATCTCCATCTCCAAGTACAAAATTCCTTCTCCCCACCCCACCCTCCAACCAAACAAACAAGGAAACAAACAAAACCCCAAACCCACAAGTCAGCTTCAAATAAGTTTGGAAGAAATGAGACTCTAATATTTACATATGGGGCAAGAAATAAACCACAAAACTATTTACAAAAATACACAGGCTTATATGCATTAACAATTTACACCAGTTCACAAAAATATTAAAACATAAAAAAACACTATATAAATAAAAGAACTCATAAGTGTGATCTAAGACTTTCTAAGATGCTTTTCTCATGCAGGGCATGGTAGAAAATCAGGTTTTGCTATCTCAGAATCTAAACTGTAAAACAATCATTTTATTCCTTGAACATTAACAGTACTAATCAGATAAGGAGAAAAGACCCTCTGTGCACACCAACATTATCTTGCACACATTAAAATACATCATTCCCGACATTTCTGGAACACACAGTACATGCCTCTAACCATTTGGAAGTAACTTTCTGACATACTTTAGCTTTCATTATTTCCTTCACTCTCTGCTCAGATGATACTTTGCCAGTGTTCTGAATGAGTGACCGACAAGGCTGAAACAGAGAAACGGACTTTACAGGCTCCTTTGTGAACTAAAGGGGCGAATTTCAAATTTACGTTGTATGCATCTACTTCTGCTTCCAACATGACACAACTCTTCCATTCCCACTCACATTCCTGGTCCCTCCTCTGCACAGAATAAGTCCTAAATTTTTCAACCTGACCCTAAGTTTTTACAAACCTTTGCCATCTTAAGAAATGTGCAGGCCCTAGCCTTGGGACCATCCCAGGGACTTCTTCAAACTGAGCATGTAAAACATGTTTAAGAGGAAACCGAATACCATAAGAAATAAGGCTCAAATTAAATTAAGTAAAAATGGTGGCCCTGGGGCTTTAGCAAAGTTCCTAGCCAGACATCCAGGGAATATCTATTTCAATCTAACCAAACCGTGGAATCAGAATATTGCCAAAATGATAAAATCTGGAGACATGGCTATGGAAGGACCAATAAATTAAACTATGGACTAAATGCATAAGGCAGCTCCATTTCCTGGACCATAATGCTCCATATCAACATTTGAAAATAACATTCAATTACTGTGTGTGTGAAGTCACAAGCACGGTGAACAATGCTGAGGTAAACTGGCTCACAGTGATTTGCCATCCAATTACTACCCCATAGTATTAGAAAGGGAAAGATGCAGGCAAAGCTTTTCAAATAGCTGAATCCAAGTTAAGGCTGTTGCTACATACATTAAATAACTCTAGACGTTATCTAAAGTTTCTGTTTCACGCTTATACCAGTAATTTGAATCATTATTCTATTTTTAAAATATTTACCTGATATTTCCAAACCCATAGGACATTATTAATAAAGAAATTGTTCTGAGGAATTTATAAAATAGACTTTAGCTTCAGGAGTAAACAATATGTTGACAAGTCCACAAATATGAAAACTGGCCTGGACCTTCCATCACTTCTTTCTGGATTCTCAGTTGCTGAAACCACGTCTTTCTCCTTCTCACACCAGCCCCTCTTCCTAATCTCCGTACTGCTGGTGAGAACTTTCGGGGTGGTGTGACCTGCAAGAGGCAATGGGTTGCCTATTCACAAAAAGATGACTAGGGTAAAAAAAAACAAAATTCGTGTGGCACATTCACTAGAGATCAAACACCTGTACGTAGCCCCCGTGGGTCTGTGTGCCAGATGGAGGTTCTCTTAACATTCTGACTAGGGATCAGTTAGGCCTGCACTTCATATGTACATGCCTAAACTTCCACGGGCCTTTCCAGACATCGGTGCTTCAAGACTTGTATTTTGGATGACTCTGGGGAACAAAAGAAAGCCTTATAGAGTATTCCCACATATAAATGTGCTATTCTTAAAAGTTTGTATTTCTTTTTTTCTAAATATAAATCCTTAAAATGCAACCACAAGACTTTTTTTCAAAATAAAACTGACTGGCATGAATCCTAATCTTTATACAATTTCACAGCAGTAATAGCAGCATGATTTTAGCCTCCCTAGCGCTAAAAAAAAGATGATTCCAAGTTCTAAAAAGCAACCATCTACTACATGGAATGAAATCTCCTGTGTCTTCTACAAACTGAGCATTTAAAATATATGAATGTATAAAACTCAGGTATTATTATGAGTTATAGAATGAAATGTCAATCTAAACTCCTTCTGAAATTCAGGACTGCCTTGATAGTCTGATATATCTGTGGTGGGGTGAACTAAGAAAAGAGTGGAGTTGGGCTAGAGAAGAGTCCTGTTCCTACTCTAATAAGGGATGCAACTTTCAAAAGAAAGTTTACTAGTCTACAGACTTATAAAGAGCTATTCCTGAAATGCTGGTGTAGATGACAGAGTAAAACTGCAATCACACAAGTACCAAGTAAGCAAACACCATATGACTCCTTAGGATGTAAATGGTAGCAACCAGAACTCAGGCTGCTGAGATGGAGCTGGGTACCCAGTGGTTACCGCAGGAACTCAGTTTCCTAACACATAATTCATAGTTACCTTAAGAATTCCCAGGGAAATTACACTCTGGTTTAGAAATAGAAATTAACGTAATTTTATATTCATGAGAAATTGTGTTTGTCCAGTCAAATCATGTTAATCTTTTTTTTAAAAAGGAAAAAGGTTGCTAATTGAGGAGAACAGTGAATGTTTTACTGGAATTATAATTTACCAGATATTACTTGGAAAGTGTGGAATCTGCAGGCAGGCGGAACACTAAAAAGCACTAATACAGTTTTCTGGTGTTACTAAAGCTTGTTGACAATAAGAACTCCACTTTCTTCCACTTAATAAGTTGCCTTAAATTCTAAATTAACAGAAAACAAAAAAGCAAAAACCATCCTTTTGTAGCAATAGGAGCTTGTGCGTTAGCCTGTGAGGAACAAGTACAAAAGTAAGAATGTAAAAAGTATGGTTGAGGCTGGTATTCTGTGATGACTCTTTGTGGAATGTATAACATCCTAATTCCTTGTTTAATTATAATGTTGCTAGTTGTCTAACTGATTTAACTGAAATATCTAGGATTTTTTTTCCTACTCTAATTTAACACACAAGCCCCCTTTTGGACAGGATAATGAAGTAGAATGTAATGGAGAGTCCACCTGGGCAAGCTGTGGGGCCCAGATGGGGAAGTGCAACACAACAGGAAATGTAGAAGCCCACCAGGAAATGGATACAAACTACTCCAAACTAGGAAGCAAGTGCTAAGAAGAAATGACAAAGTTAAATTCAATCAGTTAAAGGCAGTCCTTAGGCTCATACAAATTAGCCCTATATGGGAAGTATGGTCTGTGACAAATTTCTTCACTAGATTTTCAACACAGTGCTTTACAATCATTCGTATCTCTTTTAAAGACAGAAATAACACAGTCTATAAATGGAAGAGGTGGTAATGAAGCAGGGAAGGGGAATGTGTTGATTTGTTCACTTTTATTGTGTTTCTTTCTTTATTGTGTTGGTTGGGGGGAGTTGTAGCTTTTTTTTCTAAATCTTTTTGGTTATTGAAAAAAATAGAACAGTCCACTGTCCAGCAGAGGCTGCTTCAACTCTATTGCTCCCAGGGCTCATTCTGCATGGATCTGTGTGTCAGGATGCTGCAAGGACAACTCTGTGGGCAGGAAGGCGCCTTGACCCAATGCTGTGGCATATGTCCTGCTCTGTGGGTGGGCAAAGCCAGAGGGCACATAGACCCCCATGCCTCCCCCTCCAAAGCCGACTCGCTGGTGCTGGGGCAGGGAGTGGTAATCCTCCAGGTTGTCATACTGGGACACAACAGTCACATTGCTCTGGCGCTTGCTGTGTGTTTGGTACTGGTACAGCACGCTGGGGTCCCTCTCCAGGTTCTGGGTATGATGGAGTTTTAGGCTATGACTCCTCTCTGGCTTAGGGGGAGGAATCATTGACTGAGTGAGGTGTTCGTCCTCCTTGTAGCAGTCTCTGGAGTGTTTCTCGGGGGCGGGTGGCTGCCTGGCTCGAGGCCGCTCCAGGTCTTTGGAGAGCCTCACTTCTTTGTGGTTCAGTCTTAAAGACTCCTGCCCTGACATGGCATATTTCCCTCCAGAGTTATGGTAGCTGCCTGGCTCAGAAGTCTCTGGAATCCCTTTGGGCCCATAATCTAACTGGCCAGCTACCTGGGGGTAAGGTGGCCCATTTTTTGATTCACATAACTGCCTATGGCTTGCTTCCTGATGTGCCCTGTGCTCGGGGAGACTACAGCCCAGGTCATGAAGCTTCCTGTTCCTAAGACTGCCTTGCTTCTGAGGGAGGGTTGGTTTCTCTGCCTGTGTGCTGCCATACCCTCCATGGTGGTGAGCTCTATCAAACTCTGGCTCTGGGTGCTTCCTGTAGAAGCGGTCATCTCCCTCAGGACTGGCAGCCTTAGTTGGGTGCCGCCCCTCCTTTCCCTCTGCCACGGAAAGAAGTCCAGTTTTCCCAGGATCTGATTTACTACGCAGATGGATGACATAGATCCCTCCCAAGTCGTCTTGCACAGCTGGGCTCATGTTATCATATTGAGACATAACAGGCCCTTTAACCTTTTGCCGTGCTCGGCTTTCTCTCCGGATGGACTGCATGCGGTATTTTTCCATGTCCTCAAGATCCCATGAGGTGTATGTATGCTTTACATCAGCAGTTGGGGGCATGTTGACTATATTATGGTCATTACCAGAGAAATAGCTGGTCATGTTGGGCCTGGGGCGTGGAGGCAAACCAGCATAACTGTACACATTCTTTCCTTGCAGCCTAGGATTATAGAAAGCAAAATCACGATTGGGCAGGCGGTGAAGGGGCCTCAACTGTACTGTGCCATAGGCATCCACATCACACAGGGCCCCATCAGGACTGTAAAAGGAACCAGAGGAACTGGAATATGGGCTATAGCGGTAGTGGACCCGTCCATTCTCAAAGTAAGGCTGAAGCTGAGTTACGTGATAATCTGAACGAGACTGGGAGGACTGATATGGCTTATACTGGTATAGGGTTCTTGGACAGTAGGCTGGTTCATCATCGGGGGGAACTTCTGTCCGTGAAATAGGAACAGAGCGGATCATGGAAGTTGGGGGAGCATGGAGGGACTGCACCCTCCGGATTGTAGGGTATGGTGGAATATCTTCAGGGTAACAAGCATTCCTAACAGAGGAGCTCAAAGAAGAAACATACTCGATCCGGCTGCATGGCTTGGAGTGGGGTCCAGATGCATTTCTTCCTGGGGCCACATAGGTGTTATAACGAGGACCTATGGAGGCTGGTGGCTCTGATCGGGCACCATATACCTGGTGTGGCTCCAACTTGTTGTGAGGTGGAGGTACACTCTGGGGACGGAACTGGCAGTTTGGAGTCATATTGAAATGCACACAGTTTTCTGGACCAAAGGGCTCAGTGGTGACATCAGGCCTAGTAAAGGAGGAGTAAGCTATTTTCTGAGAAGCATGCTTAGGTTGTGGGATGGGAAGTGGCAACACATCATCCACCGAGGCTGAGGAAGCAGTGACAAAGGAGTGGTAATTCGAACTGCTGGTGGCGTCTATGCTGCCAGAGTGCATGGCAGCAGCCATCTTGCTCTCCACTGTCCTTGTGGGCGGCACTGGGGCAGTAAAGCCACAGGAGTGGGCAGGGAAAGACTCAGCACGCAGGTGGAGCAGTGGTGCCCTGGTGCCTTCCCGCACTTTCTCAGGCAGGCTTGGCTGTTGAGCAGAAGTGGCCATAGGACACTGAGCAGCTGCACTACCATCACTGACAAAGACAGGCTCACAGTCACCCATGGTTCGAGGTTCAGGTGGCCTCTCTGGAGCTGGAACTAGTCCTTGGACCTGTTGAAAGAAGATAATCTGATGAGTCTGTTCTTTATGCTTCTCCTACGGAATCAAATGCTGTTACATTTGTAACTTGCAAGGTGAGTCTCCCTGAATAGCAGCTTGAACTTTCTAAGCCCTATGGTCACACCGGACCTCTTCCATGGCCAAAAAGAGAAGGCCTCTGCTGCTATTTGGCATGTTGCCATCTTTGGAGAACAATGCAGGTTTCCAACCTATGACAGGTTTTAAGTTTGAGGTGAGGATCCCTATGGCATTATCTTAATGTACAGAACCAAAGAGAAGTTTAGTCAAATAACAATGTCAAAGTTAAAAATAAATACCCAGCCTGTGTGTGTGTGTGTGTGTGTGTGTGTGTGTGTGTGTGTGTGTGTGTGTGTGTGTGAGTGTGAGTATGTATGAGGGTGTGAGGGGGATGTCTAGTTAGTCTTACTACCAAGGACATTTCACTCAATAGAAAGAGGTGATTCTGTCATCTGGAAGGATTTTTAAAGTGACTAAGAGTTACAGTTTTAAGCCCCCAAATACAGGTACAGGCAATAAAGTAAGTTACCTAGAGTGACATTCAAGTCAAAGGTTACTGCCTCTACCCACCTATCTACCCTATTTGTGGATCCACAGGCCAAATATGATCTGCATAGCAATACTGCAAATACACTACTCCTGAGAGGCAGCTGCTACAAACAGCATCCTCCAATTAGAACTAGAAATTTAAATCCTTGTAGTTCAAGGTAACCACAAAAAACCACTGGCACCTTTTTTAAAAAAAAAAGGAGAGAGAGAGAGAGAGAAAGTTAGGGGAAAAAAACTTTAGCATTCTGCATACAACATTCTCTCATCAAAGCAGGTATTTGACTATGGAATATAACCTACTGGCTAAGGGTGAGAAAATAACAACAACAAAAAATCCTAATATACTATTATTCCACACTCTAAAAAAGCTTACAAGGAAGAGTCTTACAAATGAAGTCTTGAAAATGAAGTAGTTTTATTTGTAGATGTGAATGGTTGGCATAGAGTGGTTAAATGACTTATCCAAAGTCACAGTGAGTCAGTGATGGAGTTGGCAAAGAAAAAACAAAACAAAACTGTATCTCTGACACTGAATGTCTACTTTGTCTCATGATCTCTTTGTATTACTATTAGAATATCAGAGGCTTTAGGAAGAAGCTACAGTCATCAAGTAACTGCTACTTCCTAAAAGAGAAACCAGCAGTCAGGTAAAGGCAGAGCCCAACCTCAAAAGGGAACTGTTTCATGGAAACCTGCCACAGGACTTAAAAATAATGCTGCAACTGACTCAAAGACAACAATAAGTCCTGCTGAAAAATGACATACCTTTGGAACTAGTACATTTCACATCACTGACTTCTTCCCCTTCTTACCTTATAGGAATTATTTAATCCTATACTGGGTGCTGCTTGTACCTGCCCCACGACTGGTGGCTGCTCTGCTGGCCTCTGGGAAGGAGGTTGGGGAAGGGGTCGATTAGTTCTGTGTGTGCGCTGAAGGGTGGCAGTCACAAAATCAGCAGCAGTGGGCTGTTCAGCCATAGCCCAGCTGGCATCCCTGAAACTCATTTCAGCTGTTGCTGGAGTTGTGGTAACGTAAGCCATGGTGGCTGTGCTAGTATTCTCTTCAGGGGACCCAGAGGGAGAGAAGACTTTGTCCCTAGACAAATTAGCAGGCAAGGGAGATTTGTCTGCAAGTTCTGAAGGGTGATGGGGCTTATCCACACTTGCACCAAGGTAAGAGGGGGTCTGATCTCCACTGCAGAAATGGAGGGGAGACTCGTCCTGCTCCACGAGGGAGATGGTTGGCATATTGGTCTTCCCAGTCTGGTCTTCAGAGAAACAACTGCGGTCATCAGACTTCTCTGAGTCTGTTAAGGGAGTTGAGGGTATTCTGGTCTTTTCTGGGTCCCCAGGTAAATAGTTTCGAAGTGGCTGATTTCCTGGCAAGTCTACTTGGTGGAGTTGCTCCCCAGATTCGGCTGTATCGGAATGGATGTGATCCCTAATAGCTGCTGTCTCTGGGAGAGGCTGGTTGCTATTCACAGATGCATTGTTCTGGAGGTGGAACTGCTCTGCTGATCGATCCGTTTGGAAATAGGCCTTATCTAAAGCAACACTAGAGTAAGGACTGGGCAGTTTATCTTCAGCTGTAGCCACTGCCATGTCTCCATAACTAGTATACCCAGCCTGAGAAGTCCCTGGTCTCTTCAGTGACTGAGTTGAGGCTTGCTGCGCAGACTCAGCTAATGCTAGCGCCAACATTCGGGCAACATTTTTCGGAGGCGGTGGTGGTGGGATAAGAGAGACTGAACTGACAGGAACAGGATCCTGAGGGGGGTCATGGGTAACTGCTCCTAGTAGGAAATTGGGAAAAAAAAATGAGAATGAAAAAGTAGCTTACGATATCCTATACGGAAAGCCAAATACTCCCCATGTGATCATTAAAAAATAGGTGCCTTCCATATTTCAAAATGGCAATTCATGATCTTCTATCCCACATGCAATTGCTGTTGAAAATACATCTGGTTCAGAAGGAAAACTAAAATAAAGTGTTTAAAGGTTGCAAGCTCCTCTTGGATTGCTATAGAAATGGGTGTGAGGGGGAAGCAGGTCCCTTCCCTGGCTCAGAAAAAGACTGTTTAGAGCACAAACTTTGAGTGTTTACAAATTGTGATTAAGAACAGTTTTTATATTTGATAGTATAGACTGACTTGTGAACTTGTAAGGCTATAATAAAGATATTTATTAGAAGAGAAAACAGAACCCAGAGCTACAAAGTTGTACAAAAATTATCCATAAATTCTGACTGTCCAAAAGAGATAATGGGACTTTTGTGAAGATCTGAAGTAGGGCCACGGGCCCTTTGGGGAGTTTTGCTTGACTGATTTAAATTTAGGGCTTTGAGTCATCAGCACCACTCAGAAAAGCATTCTCTTTGACTAAAGACTAGCTGTGGAGCAAGTTGCTCTCTTAAAAGGCACAGATGGCACACAGGATGGAAGATCCCTCTTAACTTAAAGAAAGAATGGAGGAAAACAAACAGTACCTGTCTGAGTCTGTCCAGAAGCTACAGCCTTACTCTGACTGCTCGAGACAGACCGCTCCTCTTTCCCTGGCAATTCTACTTCTTCAGCAGCAACCTGATCCAGGGGCTGGACTTTAGGTTCACATCCTTCTTGTGCCTCTCTCTCATTTGTTTTCATCTTTACTGTCTGGGTGGGGGATCTATTTGGGACATCACTTTCCTCCACACTTTTGTCCCAGGTTGGAGATGATGCATTCTGAGCTATAGTATTCGAGACAGTACTGATGATTTCTGACACCCGAGGTGGAAGGGTCACTAAAATTGGCTCAGATATGTTCATGGAAGGTGATTTGCTTAACTTCCGTCCTATCTTCGGAGAGAAAGCATAGACGACCTTTTCAGTAAATGAGGATGGCTTAGATGATTTGTCTTCAGTTGGGCTCAAGTCCAGGGTAAAAAATGGACTCAGTTTCTCCTGAACTGGAGAGACAGGTTCAGAACTTGCAGTGCTTCCTGGAGTCTGAGACTGGCTACCACCTGCTTCTCCATCCTTTTTATTGGTACATGGTTTATCCTTGGAGTATCCTAATGAATCCAAAAAGGAAGCACCACTCTCCAGACATTCTGATTCAGCCTTAGGAGGACTACATTGAAATGACATAGGATCAAAATCCAAGCTGGCCACCCCAATGTCTGGTGGGCTCAAGTCAACATCCTCAGCAGAGTGAGGAGACACGAGGGCTGGAATATGGAGTAGCCCCACTTCTTCGTCACTCTCATTGTCATGGGGCAGATTATCATAGGAATTGCAGCGGTTCCCCAGCATTTCTCCATTGAAAGAGGCAGACAATGCATCACTGCTAGATCGGGGTCTTCTGGGTCGGAAAAGCTTGGAATCACCTGGCAAAAACAAACAACAGTGTCAAAGCATTAATGTACCATACTTCGTACAGCAGTAACTTACCACACAGGGTAAGAAAAACACAACCTCTCATTTTCTTCCTGCAAACTGTCTTTGCATGCACACAGACCATTTACACTTGTGATAACACAACTCACAAACCAATCACTAAATAATAAGCACATTTGATATAAACAGAGGGAAAATGCATTAGTTCATAGTCTGGGTAAGAGAAAGGACTAAGGACTCTTGGATCCTATTACTGGTCCAACACTGACTCTTAGTCTGACTTTGGGCAAGTTTTCCCTTTCTTCGTGTTTTATCATTTCACTGGCCTCACACAAAACTTGTAAGGTGGAACTGATCTCTTTAAACAGTGCTTCAGATATAGAATAGCAAAAAAGATTGTTTATTGTGGGAAAATATCCTTATATAAAGTATATTTCTTTAAAAAATGAACTTCTCAATCAAAAAGTATGTATATTTAATAAAGGATTCCTTTCAAATACTTAAAATAATTTTTTTATTTCTTAAATGAGAATAGGCTTTCAGTTCCTCACGCAGACACCTCAGAATGGCAGACAGTATTATACAATTTTAGCTGCTAAAGGTCCAAATGGTAAAAAAAGAAACACTCTATAAAAAATAAACACTCTATTCTATGAGAATTATTACAATTGCCATGGTGGAAATGTAATTGAAAAAGGCAGACACTATCTTAACATAAATATATCTATCACTTATTAGATTAATCCTTTCTCAAGTATTATTTTCTACATCTATATAAACCACTACATTATTTTGTAGATTATCTTGACCGCAGTTTAATTGAAAACATTAAAAAAAAAAAACCCTCCTAAAATGCCAGCCACTCAGTTCATGTGGGAGAACTTCTTTGATTCATAAGCAAAGCCTCTGGTCAATGAGGATCTCACAGTAAGGAGAGTTAATAAATGAAGATAAAAAAACTGATCAGGATAATGACACCCCTGGGTACTTTAAAAGAGCACGATCTGAATGCCAAAAGACTAAGAAAAGTCTTTGGAAAAACCAGTGTAGCTCTTGATTAGTTTTGTAAAAAGTCCCTTCTTTATAATCTGCTACACAAGCCAAAATCAAATGAAAAATGTACTATTGTGTTCTTACCTGGTTTTATCAAAAAACAAAACACATCATACCTTCATCCAAATCAACATTGAGGTAGTAATTAGTACATAGCTGCAGCTATGATTCAACTTTTACTAAACAGAATATAAAACACATTTATTTTCATAATATTAAAGTTTTGTCTTTCAAGTTATACTGCAACCAAACCTTTTTTCACTATTTGCCTTGAAATTTTGGTCCCACTTAAAGCAGATTCACTTTAAGTTGCCCTCTCCAGTTACAAATGATCACTGAGTAATGAAGGCCACCTGTAATCAATCTGCTCTCTGAAATTTAAGGTCAGGTTAAGCCATGTGAAAAACAAGACTACTGGTTCAAATACCAAATGGTTTAATTTTATACTTTGTAGCAAACATTATAAAATCTAAAAAAGGAGATAGTAACACCAGTTTTTTCAAAGTATTAAAAAAGAACATAACTGGCTGCTATAAAATGTTTCAGCCATTTCATATAAATAAATAGTAATCATGTCACAACAGCAATGAATTTTAATCTGAACAATACTAAATAAATACCAGTATTGTTACAAATGATAGTTGGTAGATTATTTATGAAACATGTATTTGTAAAATACACTCATTTGGTGTGTTTATGTTTTATATATGCAATCTATCATTGAGTAAAATGACCAATGCTTTTTAGCCTTACCATCAATGGCATGGAGAGAAGTAAGAGACTCCTCACTTTTGGCTGAGCGAAGGGTTCCTTCTGCCCTGCCACCTGAAGAATCAAAACCAAATATCGTCAAGTTTTATTATTGTTGCATACTTTGTACTTAAAGGGATCTGTGTTTTCCCTATCACTGGTTTAAACTTCCAAGAGTGATTAGCTGCACATTTTGACAGTCATAGTCAATTTTATCCTGTTATGTAACGTGCTGTACTGCTCTCAGTTTCCCATGTGAAAAAATCTCTTTTATGAAGGATTACGAACTTAAGCATAGAGATGACTAAAAAACTTCTTTCTTGTGTATTTCCTAAAGACAAACACAATATCCTTAGATGATGTAATACTGGACTTACAGTGGACTCTATCTTTAATGTCCTTATGAAAAGGGAGGACACAAAGAGACACAGAGGACATCCTGTGCAGATGGAGGCGAGAGGTTGGAATGAGGTTGCATCAAGCCAAGAAATGCTAGGAGCCATGAGAGCTGGAGGCAGCAAGGAAGGACTCTGTCCTGGAGCATTTAAGAAGGATCACAGCCCTGCTGACACCTGCCAGACTTTGAGTCTCCAGAACACAGAGAGTATGTTTGTATTGTTTCAAGCAACTCAATTTGTAGTAATTCATTAAGGAAAGCCGAAGAACCTTCCACGGTTACTTTAATCATACACACTGAATCTTATTTGTTAAACATTTCCATCCTCTCTTACTTATTGGCAGCACCCCACATTGCTAATTCCTCCTCCACTTCTGGGAAAATCACCCACCTCTTCTGTTCTTTGCCTACCTTCCTAATAATTTCTTCTCACTCTCCTCTCAAGGCAACTTGTCCTTTCACAGTCCTTTAAGCATTGCTTTTCTCTAACTTGCCTCTCTTCTCACCATGCTCCATCTCCTAAAACATTATTCTTGTCCTCTTGCCCATCAGGGGAATTCCTACTTATCCTTCAACACCCAAGTCAAGGGGTATCCTTCCTGACCACCAGTTATTCTCCTATCAGAACTGACAATACCTACCATAAATACCTTATATAGAATTCTATTTTAATAGCTATGTTTCTGCACTGAAATTCATTTTCTTATTCATAAGACTTCCCAATTAGACTCTGAAGACAGGGCACTACTTTAATGTTTTATCTGTAGAGCCTACATGTACATGCTAGGTACACAATTGCAAATTGAATAAATGATGAACATTATACTTCTAACATTATTTAAGGAATAATATTCTTAAATATTTGTGAATTTATTCTTCCTAAATTCACAAGCTATTGTTAGCAGAACATAGATTTTTAAACTGTTTTTAAAAGGGATTTATTCTATAGTAATAGATCTATTTGGTTGAACAAGACACTCATCAGTGAGTCATCTAGTAAAAAGACAGTTTCTTTGGTTATAACAAATATACACTTGAAGACATGTTAAAACATGGTTTTGTCATTTTAAAATCTATAAAAATAGAGATCAAAACATTTCAATATCACAGCAGTATTTATTAGCAACATGTTAAAACTACATTGAGAATTTTAAATCACATTCACATTATATATAATCTAGCCAGTCTCATATAGAAATTGGGTCCTTCTGCATGTAGTTTATTTTGCCTTTCAAACTAGGATAAAGAATTGGTCCCAAAGACTATCTGTCTGTGCCATACAACTATACACATCATACAGTGACGCCTATAATGATAATACATGCTGATGTGCCACAAGGTTGCCAGGACAGTAACAAGTGTAGGACTCACCAGGCAGACTGTTCTGTGTGGCAAGATGGGAGTTGGGTAAGACACTAACCTTTCAGAGCCATGGCTTTCATCTCAGAGGGCTCGCTCTCATTACGCTGCAACTTCCGTTTAGAGACAGATGATGACTTTCCCAGGTTGAAAAAGGAACGCCAGCTGCCCACAGGAGATTTTTTCATCTTATTCTGAGGCCTCTTTCTATGAGAGAGAAAACAGTTAATCAGCATTAAGACAGCCCAGGGCTTATTTTTTTCTTATAGAAAAAGAAATGAATAAATGATAGAAAAGCTGAGGAGGCACAGCTAGAATAGTGAACAAACCTATACCTTCCATGCATATACTCTATACAACTAAAGCATAAAATGAAAGTTACACATGCAGATTTTAACATTAGTAACTAGTTTCACAAAGATCATTTTACGTATTTAGATCTAACCTTATCATATTTAGATCTAACCTCTCAATCTGCAAAATGAGTGAAAATAAGACGTAAGTGGAAATAGGAACTATTAAGCTTCCAAAAATAACAGCTAAAGAAAATTATTTTATTCATGAGTAGAGAGAACAAGGAGTAAAAAGAAAAATATTAAAAATAACAACTAATATATTTTGAATGCCAGGCACTGTGCTAACTACTTCATATATAGTTAGTATGTACTTTAAATCAAATATGACACAAGTGCTATTATTCTCCCTTTCTAGCTGAGGAAATGAAGATACTAAGAGATTCAAATAATTTTTTAGATGTTATAAAACTAAGTGATGAAGTCAGAGTTGAAGCCCATGTCGATCTATACTTTAATATCTACTTTTAAAATCATTACTCTGGAAAGACTTTTTTTTGAGTAAATTATGGGGCTAAAATATAAAACCAAGACATTGAAGTCAAACTCAGAAATGACAAAGTCAGAGCATAATCTAAATTTTGCTTTTTTAGTCATGCGAAGCAAAAAGAAGTTAGAGGAGTATATTAACATGGGAAGAACAAATCCTAAAGTTGTATTAGAACTATCTGATCTAGATGAGCAAGGTCCTTACATTCATGTGTAATGGCCAAAGTAGTAGCAAAGACATCAACAATAACTTTTATATACATTCATCTTCCTACTAGAAGCTAGTAAAGATATACAAACCATGTTATTATCATTTCTTTAGATAAACAGCAAGTCTCAGAGCTGGGAGGAACAATGATGGGGCATGCCATAGAAGCTCTCCACTTTTCATACCCATTATAATCGCATGGAAAGCTTGATGGAAGACTGACTACTGGGCCCCATCCCCACTGGTTCTGGGCTGGAGTTGAGAATCTGCATTTCTAGGAACTACCAGGTAATGCTGATGCTGTCAGTGGGGAGACCCCACACTGAGAACTGCCAACCTACTCCAAGCTTAATATGGAACCAATGTCAAATAAATCATTGTCCATTCATTACTTTCTGAATGAGCTGCTCCAGTACAGCTTATTTTTAAACAAATCTCTAAACAACAAACCTCAGAGAGAAAAAAATCAGCCCCACATAGTGAATGTTGTATCATTTTTTCCTAATAATTTTCTGTGTACAGTTGACTGTTCCTTTAAAAAATGATGTACTATTTTACAAGAATCATTTGTAACATCCCCAATTAAGTCTTAAGTATCATTTATATTGAAATAAGCAGGTTTTTCTGGGACTAGTTCAGAATTTAATATAATACTAAAATCCAAAGCTAAAAGAAAACAGTAATAGACACAAAGCTATGAAAACCCTATTTTAAAATAAGATTTAATGAGCGGGGTGCCAGTGGCTCATGCCTGTAATCCTACCTACTCAAGAGGTAGAGATCAGGAAGATCACAGTTTTAGCCAACCTGAGGCCAATAGTTTACAAGATTCTATCTTGAAGTACCCCATCCAAAAAAAGCTTGTGGAGTTTCTCAAGTGGTAGAACACCTGCCTAGCAAGTGTAAGTTCCTCCATTCAAACCCAGTACTGCCAAAAAAGAATTTAATGATTTTACCTTTCAAGTGGGAATTCAATTATGGTATGAAATTTCCCTTGCAGTGCAGCAGGTCCTTCTCCAACTTCAATGTATTTATTTTCAGTCACAATTGGAGAATTGACCTGAGTTTGTGTTCGTGCCTGAGCTTCCTCCAATGTCAACAGCTTGGTGGATGGAGAGGACACCAGCAGGGATTTGGGCCTTGACAGAGAAGCTTACAAAAGAAAAGGAAAGGAATGAACAGAGTCCTCTGTGAGTACAGGAATATCAGCCTGTCTCTTTGTCTATATACCTATTGGTGTTGTTTCACATTTTCTTCAGGATTTTTAAATAGCAAAAATTATCAACTATACTAAGCAGAACTAGAAGCTGACATACCGGATCACAGGGATAATTTAACTATTTTTCTTTCTCAGAAGACATCAGGAAAAGGTGTATCATTCATATATTTTTAGTTTTGGAAGGAATTTTTCTTTTTCTGCTCCATATGATATCTTTAGACACCAATACTGGGGGAAATTTTTTTGGGATCTGTCATGAACTAAGATCAGAAGAGGTCTTTATTTATCATGTACACACAAAGTAACTGTCAATTTGTATATTTTGGAACACAGACATAATCTAGGTGTGTTCCACCAATGTCAAATTTCATTAACTGAATGACAAATGTAATGTTTCCAATCCTTTGGCAGTTTAGATCCATGTTCCTGGTAGTAAACAAACCCCTGTGCCATACCTGCCCCTTCCTGCATGACCACATTGATTTTGCCACTGAAGAGCACATCTACATGATTGAGGATGAACTCGACGACCACAGACTGAATTCTCACTTCCATGAAAGCTGCTGTCCCACTGAAGCAGGCTGATTCTATCTGTTTTGATCTGTGAGGTCAACAACATTCCCATTAGAGTCACACTATTTAAAACATGTACATCACAGACAAACCAGAGGAAGAAACCCAACTTTTACTATCCCTTAGCTCAGCCCCAGTTTCTCATTTTAGAGAGATGCTAACAAAAAGAACAATTTGCTTTTCTTTTAAATTTTTTCCTTAAGGAACACTGATTAATGAAGACTTTTTAATCCAAGATAATTAATTCTACTGAAAGTCATTTTAAGTCAAATGCAAGTTACCTGAGCAGGTTTGGAGCCCAGACGATGGCTAAGTTTTTTGCATGCATATTTGTGATGGAACAATAGTCCGCTAGAAGAGACAAGTGTCTCATCAGGAACTCCAGTGTTCTGAAAAATGAAATACAATGTGCTAACAGAAAGAGACATTATGCAGCAATATAGAACATAAAAGCAACTGACTTGTAAGTTTTCAATAGTAAATAGAAAAAAGAGACCATACAAACCCAAGCACTTTTTTTGCTGCCCACTAATTCTAAATATTAGTAGAAGTGAATGTCCCACAAAAGCTAGTTTCTGGACCTGATGAAATTTTGAAGTTATGCTATTCAACTTGGAGCACAGAACTAACAGGAAAGGATTCAAATATATCATTAAAGGGGAAGAAAAAGTGCATCTTTAAAGGGGAAAAATAAGTGATGTTTCACAAACTTAAAAATGGTTAAGAGAAAAATTCCAGTAGGCATCAGAGAGAGAATATCTGTGCAACTAATGTGCTTATGGAATGAAAAGTCTATTTCAAATTCTAATGTCCTTATTTATCTTGTCCATTCAAATTTTGCTTTATTTAAATTAAACATAGTACTTCTGGAAATAAAACACAATTAGCTTAAATATAAGTTAAAGCAAATACCATACCCCCTCCACACCTGGGAGGGGGAGGGGAGTTATTACCTATTAATACTATATCTCAGCATCCCTAACTGTGGAGAGATTAAAACTATTAAAAAATAAATGAGAGCAGAAATACAAGACTCTATTATCAGAAACTGTAATGAATGTTAAATTGTGGTCCACAAAAGGGTCACAAAGATTCAACTGAGCCTAACATGAATTTCAGAATAAAATGAAAATAGCAACTAGACTAGGCATTGTGATTTTACAGAGAGCATCATTTAATTCTCACAATAGTTCAACCCCCAGCTCAGCCACTTTGTGCGGAGGAGGAAGTGAAGGATGGCCGGAGATTACAAAACGGCTCCAAAGTGCTTATTCCTTCAATAGCACCTACTGTATCTGATCTACAATAAACATGGTATTCTTGGTCCCTCATGTACATAGTTAAATGAGGAAAGACAGAGAGACAGACAGAATTGGACTGACCTAAGAACTATGTAAAATTTTATTGTTAGGGGAGAATAAGATTAAGGGATCTCAGAAATGTGTTTTACAAGAAATGTAAATTAAGCCAACCAAAGATGTCTTTCTTGTTTACCTACCTAATTATAAAGATGTATTTAAAAGTCAGAATTTTACTCAGGATTCCCTAAAATGAGCACTTTCTTACTGAGTAGACAACAGTACAAATGGCATAAACCTTCATGGAACACAATATGAGTGGTCTATACTGAGACTATACTGAAAGTGCTAGTATGTTTTGGTTTCTAGAATTCTGCTAACAGACCTTTATCCTAACAAATGTCCAGATTCCATGTAAAAGGATAGTTTTCATAGTAATATTCAAAATTGAAAAAAAGAAAGTTCTACAATGGCATACAGATTAAATGTGCAAATTAGGGGATAAGAGAACACTATTAAAAATCAGATTTTTCAAGAATGTTTAAGGAATTAAGAAAGATACATGTTAAAATCTTAGTTAACAGGTCTGGCTCAAAACAGATATGTAAAGGAGGAGACAAATATAAAGTATGTATAAGAAGCTAAAATTACACACATTACAAAATGGGAATTATATAATAAGGAATTATATATATTACAGAGTAGCATATATTTATATAATATGCAATATATATAATTCAGGTAGGGCTTACTCTGGTAATAAAATGTATAGTCAGAGCTAGGTAAAGAGGGTAATATTAGGATTATATATATCATTAAGCTATTAAATACATAGGGCACAAAAATATATAAAACATATACAATATACATTATTAAATACCTACTATGTGCAAGACTCTATAAACAAGACAGAATTCATGATCCTCAAGAAGTTTATGTTCTAAAGAGGTTCACACTGAATAGGTAATACAATATATATAAAAATACTTGGCTCTGTGTTCAATATATAATATACAGCAGGAAAGATATATAATGTTCAATAGGAAAGACTACAGATAGCAAGAGAACTATACATGTAATTAATAAGGAAAATAACTATTATTATGCATTATAGGAGAATACATATTGTGTTATGGGGAATATAAATGTAATTACAGTAGAGCAGATAAATGTATTACAGAAAAGCTACCCATGTCAATATCGTAGATGATAGATATACACATCTGCAGAGAAATAAAAGTGAGTATGTACATGTAGATTTACCATATAGGAAAGAGATGGCTACATACAATGTGAGATCGTAACAACAACAATGAATTCACATAAAAACATTTATTGTTTAACAGGCCTTGTTCTAAGTGCTTTTTTTTATTGTTGTTTAATATACCAGGAACCCAGTGAGGAAAGTATTATTACTATCTCTTTTACAAATGATAAAACTATGCCCACAGAGGCAAGAAAACTTGTCTAAGGTCACAAGGTAATATAGCTAGTAGTGTCAGTTTGGCTCCAGAGTCTCTGTATTATAAGATCTATAATATACAGATAGATAAACATAATAGAAGATATAAGAGTACTACATAGTAAAGAATACATACATATATATGTGTGCATATGTAAGAAATAAGAATAAGATATATAAACATGAAGTGAGAGGTTTATTTATATAAAAGGTAATAGTAGGAGAAATATATATTTCACTATATAATGTATACAGGTACAATATATAGTAAGAATTTTATTAAATACATACTACAGTATAGGAGGGAATTTGTATACTTATGTTTATGTGTGTCTCTTCTTACTCATATTCCTTCATTCACCCACTAGATTAACCACCACCTTTCTCAATTCCCTCCAAAACACATGCTGATTAATGTCTAGGGCACAATGAGTTTTTATGGCTCACAGGATTCTTGGAGGTATCATTCTGAACACATTGGTTAACATCATTTGAATTATGAGTTACCTAAAGTCAACTGTGTCTCTGTAACTGTTTATGCAAGGTAATTTTAATTCATAATGTAATTGAATGCTATCAGTATTTATAAAATATGACTTTTAGAAAAAAAATATTCATTTACTGGTTTCCATGAAATCTCAAGTGAATGCTTTGCAAAGTTTTAATAAAAGTGAGCTGCCCAAAAACAAAGCTGCCAAATGAGTAAGAAACAAACGCTGATAAACAGAATAGTATGATATAAAACAAAACCTGTAATTGCTAATAATATTCTTGTAAGGAAAAGAGACTATTCATGAAACAAGAATTAGATTTATAAAGTAGTGATATTCAGAGAAACAATGGAGGGAAGGAAAGAGTTTGCTTTTGGAAGTATATATGCTTTTTTAATGGAAAAGGTGAGAAAATGTAAGAGTTAGTTCAAGAGTTAAATAATTTCAGGAAAAGAATAAATGATGGCTTTTAAATTACAATGAGAACCCTCAAAGAAATAATACAAGTTAATATCCCAGAGTTGAACAACATAAAAAGGAAACGCTTCATCCAGCACTCAGTTAAGAAAGAAAAAGAACACATGCCAATATATGTCAGTGTGAAAAACTGACCTCCAGATATGTTTTAAATTTGAAAGCATCCAGAAAGGTAAAAGGCAAAACAAGACAAAAAATATGTAGAAAGAAATATGTAGAAAGAGACTATATAAAAATGGTTTTAGATTATACTGTAGCATTTTTGGTGGACAAAAATGGTGTATCACCATCAAAATTAGGGGAAAAATTTATACCTTATAATCGTAGCCAATTATCAATCAAATTCAAGAACAGAAATAAGACTGTTTTCAGTTATCAAAGTCCCCCAAAATTTTCTCCTATATAAGTTTTTAGGATGATACCAAAGATATACACCATAAAAGCAAGGAGTAAAAATAAGCAAAATGGAAAGAAATCTAGCTAGCACAGGAGGTGATGGGAATTTCCAGAGAGAGAGTACAGGATTAGCACTGACAGCATCATTGTAGGTTAGAAGCACAATCAGACTGGAATGGGGCGCATCCAGGAAGAAAAGTGAGGACAATGAAAGAGCTGCTCCATTTCTATCAGAAAGTCTGGGGGATAAACTAGCAACAAATAAACTCTGCAACCAATGGTAGGCAAGTGCTCCACAGAAAACACAAAAAGGTATCCCATAAAGAAGATATAAGTCTAGTATACTGTTAAATAGTGTTGTAAATAATCATTAGACAGTTATTATAACACAAATACTGAATATGGATCTAACTCCAAGTAGTGATATAACTAGACTGTGAAGAATGAAGGGGAAGTGGTATTGGAGAACCAGCGTAAGAGACCGCCTTCCTCATTTACCGTAAGAGGAAGGCAACAAATATGAAAAAATGAGAAACAGCAATATAAATATGCTATTGACATAAGGAAAAGGTGTAAAAGGATGACTATAGTGGAAGTATTACGTATACATATATGTAAATGGAAAAATGAGATATGTTGAAACTATTACAGGAATGGGGGAGAGAAGGGGGATATAAGAAAATAATGGAGGGAGTGAATTAAAGTATAATATATTGTAAGACCTTTTGTCTGTGTCTCAATGTACCCCCAGGACAAAAATAATTTAAAAAAAGAAATATATTCAGAAAAAAAAAAGAAAGAAACAGGAGGTCAACTTCATTAAGAGTTAAGAGTGCTGACTTCTGAGAGAGAAACTGGAACTCAAGGGCCATGGAACAAGCACCTGCAGTGTCTTTACCATCAGCAATGCATGCTATTTAACTTTTAAAAGCTATGTGGCTATATTAATGTAGGCAAAAATATATTTACACTATGCTGCATGTAAAATTACCAAGTCGAGAAGCCTTGGTTTAACTATAATCCTCTGTCATACTATGCTTTATTTAAAAAACAGTAAGGTTCAGGCACATCCCCAAAATTTTTCATCCAAAAAATCATTTTAAGAAGGTATAATCATTATTCTGTTCACAGATATGGGGGACTGATCCTTACAGAGATCACAGCGTATGTAATGATTAGTAAATTCAAAATCAGATCTATCAAGGCCAATATTCTTAATATGATAGTAGGTTTCTTTCAATTATGAGTTAGTAAAGAATGTTTGCTTAGCTGGGTGCCAGTGGCTCATGCCTGTAATCCTGGCTACTTCGGTGGTTGAGAACCAGAGGATCACAGTTCTGGTCCAGCCCCCACAAAAAAGTTTGTGAGACTCCATCTCAATGGAAAAAAGTTGGGTGTGGTGGCATGCGCCTGTCATTCCCAGCTACAGCAGGAAGCATAAAATAGAGGCAGATCACAGTCCAGATCACTTTGGCCAGCCTGGGCAAAAAGCAAGATCCTATCTCCAAAATAACCAGAGCAAAAAGGGATGGAGGCATGGCTCAGATTCTTGAGTTCAAACCCTAGTACCACCAAAAAACAAAACAAACAAATAGACAAACAAAAAAACCCATTCCTTTTCTTCCTCAAAGATACCCTTCAAAATTTGTGCACTGAACAAATTTGTCTCCTTGGCCTTCCTTTTCAGGGCTAAACACCTCAGTTTCTTTAAGCTTAAGTCAGAAAAGCTCTTCAATTTTCCTTTGAGTTTTCCTTTTTCACTCTTCAGTAGATCCATACACCATTCACCCCTTCATCACATTCCTTCTAAGACAAGTTACATTAATAGGACAATGAACTGATCAAGGCAATCATGCACTTTTTTCTAACGAGCTGGTTTAAAAATAGTACTAATTTTTAGTACTGATTAAAAATGCTTGTGTTGATTTAATGATGAATGTAATGCTGATTTAAAGAGACAGATGTAATGTTGTTTTGAAAAACAATCATTAAGTTACTTAATTGTACCAGAACATCTAATGAATTTAATCTCATATTAATAATTTCATTTAAAAGCTATGTCTTTTGCTTTTTTACATACTGTCATCCATAGTTTCTACTGTTTTCTTTCATTCACTAAATAGCAAAGTCATCTTTAATTTTATTCTGGTCTTCTCAGAGATAAACAAAAATATTTTTAAGAGTCCAAAGTAACACACAAATTAAATTTAGTTTTAAAAAATAGGAGTAAGTGGGTGTGGCTCAGTGGTAAAGTGCATTGCTTAGCATGCATGAGGCCCTAAGTTCAATCCCCAGCACCACTACCAGAAAAAAAAAATTAACAACAACAAAACCTGAACAAATAAACAGCAAAACCCCAAGTTTGATCAACTGTTCATTTTTTCATTTATTCAATATTTACCTACTGGATGCTAAACACTGTGGAAGGGTCTAAGTATGAGTGTGTGTGTAAAGATAAATAAGCAAACACAAATATGTATGTGTGTACATATATAAATAAATAAAATTCATTCTGGAGAAATGGAAATTTAATTAATCAGAACTTCAAGGAAGTATAACTAGTTAGAAACTCAAGGGAAAAAAAATGCTTTTACACACAGGTGACTTCTGCCTCTGGCAGAATTCAGGTAAATCAACATATGGATTACCTGTAGTGTGGTGGGGGGAGCTGCTGGATGACATCATGAATTTTTATCAGCCTTTCTTCATCTGTTGCTGCTGAAACAGCCTCCTGAAACAGTCACAATGCATAATAAACCAATAGGCTTGGTTGATTCAAGTAGTTTTTTACCTAAAATTCAGTTTAAACTCTGAGATTAACCCACTTGACTCACGTTAAAAATGAGGCAGAATTGAGGTAAATCAGTTTTCATACAATGTGAACACTAGAAATCTTAATTATCATTTTAAAAAAGCACGATGCTAACCAGCATTAAGGGTGATAAAATTAGTGTCTCAAAGCCAGAACTAAAAAAAGGACAATGTGAAAACAGCAAAGACAAGATTCCAGACTAGCTAACAACAATTGTCATTTTAGTGGTAACTGAACTACTTCTTAGATGTGACTAAACCAAACTTCATGCTTTGAATAAAAACACAGCAAAGCTCCACAACAGACCTTGAGTCAAAAGTGAGCAGTACTCACAGAAAATTTCTCGTACAGCTGGTAGGTTAGCAGAGGGTTTGGAAGCTCTCGGAAGTACAGCTTACAGAGTGAGCCCACAGAATGGATGTCTTGAACATAAGGTTCTTTCGTCAGGTCGGGGACATGCTCAGAGTCAAATTCATGACTAACCCAGACAGAAGAAGACAAAACAACATTATTCTACAAAAGGAAAGCAATTGCCTAAACAGTTCATCTTTTCCTCAGTTAACTGCTGTTTTCTTCCAATTATGTTTCATGTGAGTTATATGTAGACTGCAGCAGTAATTGGATATGTTATCATCATAAGCGGATACCTATGTGGAAATTAAGGACAACTTTAATATTAAAATGGAAATAACCTCTAGCCCCAAGTGTTCACCTTTACTTCGGTTGAGTTGCTGTTTTCTTCAAATCATTATACATTTCATGTAAATTATATTTGAACTTTAGCAGTAATTGGATGTCCTATCATAATGCAAGTACATTTTGCAATGGGAAATGAAGGATATGCCTTTCATACTGAAATAAACAGTAACCACTGAAACAAATGAGCAAGAAAGCAGGACTCCTAATTTCTAATGGTCTGAACAGCTAATATTTGGCAGTCCCCGAAAACAGGGTTGGGTGGCAACTGGTCAATGCACCAACTTTGTACAGAAATTCCTGATATAAGTTGTATGGCTCACAAATGTTTTGCTGCAGCAGGTTAAGGAAGCCAGAAACAATATAAAGCAATTACTATATAACACCAATGTTTTACAGCATTGAGCGAGTGCAATGAAAACTTACTCAGGATAATAAAGGCAAATTAAACTCACTCTCCAAGAGGTTACTTAATATTAATCCACAGGCATGAGGCTACTCATCATCCACATAGAGAATTAATTTTGTGGACAAACTGAGTATGAGATTTATATCTAAAACTAAAGACTGAAGCTGTCTTAACATAAAAATTAATCTTTGTATTTTTCCAAAAATATGTTCTTAAAACAAAGATGAGCTTTTCGTAATTAAAACATTAAATTCCCATAGAATAATGGCAGCTACCGATATCAGAGTGAAAAGGAAAGGATAACAGCATAGCAAGAATAGATAAAAATCCAAAAATTTAAGCAGAAATAAAATTTCTATTGCTGGTATACAAGGATACCATTATTTTGTCTCAGAGAAGACACTGGAGAGGGTGGAGATGTGGTGGAGTATGTAACACATGCATATGTGAGCACACTCTACAGAATTGGGGAGATTAGAAAAGGTTTCACTCTTGTGAATTTTAATTAAGAACCAAGGAATTGTATTTTAATGAAAATTTCATTTCTGCTTGTCATGGATTCAGACTCAATTTGCTAAAATCTTCAAACACTGTCAAGAAATAAAATATAAGCATTGAAGAGATTAAGTTGCACAGTCCTCTGACATTACAGATAAAAAATGCCATTTAGAAAATTATACATGGAGAACAATATGGATACTATTTCCTACTTCTTCACAACTATCTTACCTTAACAATTATGGTTATCAAAGTAAGTTACTCAATTTTGAAATAATTTCATGATAATGAATTAAATAGGAATAAAAAAGAAAATGGCACAGAAGGTTTTACCGTAGTCTCTGGATATTGGAGGCAACTCCAGAGAGACGATATATTCCATCCACAATGCCATATCTCTCAATGAATGCTGTGCAGCTTTGAAGAACCTGGGGCACTAAAGAGAATTTTTAAAGACAGAGATTAAATTGGTAGTATTCAGTGGAACTGACATTACCAAAAAATGAGAACGTCTTAGTTTTCATAAGCAAAATAAAATTTATAAATTAAAAGGAGGAGGAAATAAAAACTGACAAAGACATGTTACTTAATTTTATATTTTAACTTAATAACTACTTCTTGAATAATCAAGACTGGCTCCTTTTATACACTGTTAGGATAATCTCTCTACAGTCTTCTGCAAGGCTCATTTAGATCACATGACAACTGTTTAACAAACTAATACTGTGATAGTTTAAATTTAAAATATAGCTGTTCAGTTGAATTCCATACACAGCAAATGATGATGTATAAGATAAATAATCCCAACAACATAATTACTTGTAAGTGCAGCAATGTTTCACTCCTAAAAAAGTTAATTTTATCTGTCATAGTTAATGCTAATTCTAATTTTATTCAATGAACAAAACACCAACGTAATGGAAAAGTGAAAGCAATTTCAAACAGATTTTAATTTCCTTCCTCTTTTTTTAACCAGGGGGGTGGGGAGGGTGGGCACTTGAGACAGGGTCTTGCTATGTAGTTCAGCCTGGTCCTCCTGTCTCAGCCTCTGAACTGTTGGGATCCCAGGTTCATGCCACCATGCCTGGCATCCTAGCCATCTTTATACTAAATTAACTGACAGGTGACTTAATACTATCCAATCACCAAAAATGGCACTCTAAGAAGTAGGAAAGGAAGGATACTTTCTATTAGCTTAGTGAATATACACAAAGGAACAGCTATTCTAGAGCTCTCCCATCTCGAACTTTCAAAGAATACAATTTAAAAACCTATCCACTCACATTTTTACAATAGCTGAGATTTAACATTCTTCATTTTGTAATCTAGAGCTCTCCCATCTAGAACTTTCAAAGAATACAATTTAAAAACCTATCCACTCACATTTTTACAATAGCTGAGATTTAACATTCTTCATTTTGTAATGCAGATTGGCTAGTTTACAGACTTCAGTAACTGTGGTCATTTGGCAGTGTTAATTAAAATCCCTGAAAAGAAATGCTTGGAATGACATTATTTGCTCTGAAAAGAACTATTATATGAGGGAAAAACACTAAAAGTAGCAAATGAAACCAATAAGATTTTTTTTCTTATTTATTTATTTATTTATTTACTGTTTTATTATTCATATGTGCATACAAGGCTTGGGTCATTTCTCCCCCCTGCCCCACCCCCCTCCCTTACAACCCACTCCACCCCCTCCCTCTCCCCCCACCCTCAATACCCAGCAGAAACTATTTTGCCCTTATTTCTAATTTTGTTGTAGAGAGAGTATAAGCAATAATAGGAAGGGACAAGGGTTTTTGCTGGTTGAGATAAGGATAGCTATACAGGGAGTTGACTCACATTAATTTCCTGTGCATTTGTGTTACCTTCTAGGTTAATTCTTTTTGATCTAACCTTTTCTCTAGTTCCTGGTCCCCTTTTCCTATTGGCCTCAGGTGCTTTTAAGGTATCTGCTTTAGTTTCTCTGCGTTAAGGGCAACAAATGCTAGCTAGTTTTTTAGGTGTCTTACCTATCCTCATCCCTCCCTTGTGTGCTCTCGCTTTTATCATGTGCTCAAAGTCCAATCCCCTTGTTGTGTTTGCCCTTGATCTAATGTCCGCATATGAGGGAGAACATACGATTTTTGGTCTTTTGGGCCAGGCTAACCTCACTCAGAATGATGTTCTCCAATTCCATCCATTTACCTGCGAATGATAACATTTCATTCTTCTTCATGGCTGCATAAAATTCCATTGTGTATAGATACCACATTTTCTTAATCCACTCGTCAGTGGTGGGGCATCTTGGCCGTTTCCATAACTTGGCTATTGTGAATAGTGCTGCAATAAACATGGGTGTGCAGGTGCCTCTGGAGTAACCTGTGTCACAGTCTTTTGGGTATATCCCCAAGAGTGGTATTGCTGGATCAAATGGTAGATCAATGTTTAGCTTTTTAAGTAGCCTCCAAATTTTTTTCCAGAGTGGTTGTACTAGTCTACATTCCCACCAACAGTGTAAGAGGGGTCCTTTTTCCTGGCATCCTCGCCAACACCTGTTGTTGCTAATGATGGCTATTCTAACAGGGGTGAAGTTGAATCTTAGTGTGGTTTTAATTTGCATTTCCTTTATTGCTAGAGATGGTGAACATTTTTTCATGTGTTTTTTTGCCATTTGAATTTCTTCTTTTGAGAAAGTTCTGTTTAGTTCACTTGCCCATTCCTTAAGAGTAGCAAATGAAACCAATAAGATATTTTAATAAGACAATTTTAACTAATGCATTTTCACTTACAGTACATCACTATATCATTCCTTTATTATTCTAACAGACTATTCTTTCATTGTGCCTTTTGCTGTCCTGCCTATTTAAATTCTGTCAGACTTTATAACTTATATTTAAAACTTAAGCTCTTTACCTTTGATTAAAAATCAAAAGCAGCAACAGATGACATTGAACACTTCATGTAACCAGGCAAGGTACTGGACACTGTCAATTTTCACAGAAATCTTATGGACAATGTTCTACTATTATCCACATTTTACAGATGTCTTAACAACTTGAATTTTAACCAACAGCAACCAGGAAACAGTGATGGAAATGAGATTCTAGCTCAAGCAATTCAAGCACAGATCCAATGCCTTTACTATTGCAATATACTGTCAGGCATGTAAAGTCCATCATGATTCACTCTTAGTATCTTATTTCCATAGTTCACAACTCGAGGTTAATTGAAATCTCACTTTTTACCCTATAAGCTAGCCATCCTTTATAAAGTGATTTCCTCTATTGGACTCTCCTCCACCATCTTCATCATATAGAAAACTCTAGGCTATTGTTCAAACCCAACTAAACTATCACTCTTACATCTTCACTGAAAATTGATAAGCCAAGGCAACTGTACAATGTTCTATGTGCTCACAGAACTATATCATTTCCAAGTCCATTTATTTGTTTCTATATACTACCCCTTCTTAACTATAACCTCTTCAAGGGCAAAAGCCAGACTTCTTTCCTCTTTGGACATTCAACACTCAGGAGTACATTCCTGACACACATATGAAAATCAGCAAGGTAATTATTTTATTGTTGCCCCCCGCCCAAGAGCCTGAAAACGTTACCTAAGTTAAGCAGGGTAGGGACTTCAGTTTTCATATAAAACTACATTTTCAGCTGTCTACTTCTGCTTCTAAAAACATTCAAGAATTTTAGTAAAAAAGGGATACGTTTATGTAGTGGAGGTGAAGAGCAGGTAGAACTGTTAGATATTTTTGTGGGTTGACTTTGATATAAGCAACCTCTGTTGTATTTAAATGGTGTGTTAAATATAAAATTTCTTTATAAGCCTTGGTCCTTTTGCCCAATATTACTCCCTTAATGAAAACTTCACAGTGCTGTAGGTTTCTAATTCTATAAACTAGAAGTGAAATGATAAAATATGGGGTTAAATTTTTTCTATCACTAAATTTAAAGGAAATATAATTGGAGATTACTGGGATAATTAACATAATTCCTTACAAGGGATGTTACAGGATATTTTTCATCATGCTCTAAATTAGCATGATAGTTTACACCCCGGTATACAAAAGACTGGCCTTGGAAGAAAACCCTTTAAGCACAGGATTTTGTTTCAGTATTATTAAGCTTTCCAGGCATACAATATAAAATTTCCATAAGTATAAGCTACCAACCCATAAAAATATAGATCACTTTTCCTAAAGTCATATCCATGTGATACTACATTCGTGCCGACTTCTATTCTCCCAAGGAGGAAAACTTGGGAACATACAGAACATTAGAGTTCTTTCCTGATAACAGGACAAAGCCCCTTCAGACATACTTTATGGGAAACACTGAATTGCTTCTTTACATTTTATGCTCCTGAGAAAAATGACTGGATGTCTATAAAACAATCACATAATGAAGCTCAATAAATAAAACTGCACAGTAATGACATAATTTTTAGCACAACACATAAGATATTTGATTAAAACAGGTAGCAAAATGAAAGAGATATATTTTAATTCTGAAGAAAAGAGAAACAACATGATCAGATGAAAAGAGAAAAGGCCTGGTTTCCTTTTTCATTGACATGCAGAATAGCATGAGAATCCAATATAGTATCTTAGAAAAAAATCCTAGTTTTAAAAAAAGGTACCCTCCAACCCCTAACAAACCAGCCAAATGCACACAAAATAACAATCCAGTCAAAAGATAACATCAGAAAACTCTAAAATTACTCTACAGAAGATGGTAAGACTTTGAATTATTCCCACATTCCAAATAATACACTTCTCATTATTCTTAGTTTTCATCTATTCATATAACAATAGAATGACATTTTAAAATTAAACTGATGATCTGTAAGTTTAGAATTACTGCTAAAAGAAGTAGGAAGTAATTATGATGAGAATTGATTCTTGGTTTTTCTTGGCAGCTTTGATTTCATTTCTGTTCCTTTCTTTTCATTCACTTACTCACCCACCAATCGTATATTATGATATATATTGTGTTGCAAACACAAATGGAAAGTCAGGTTCTTCTCCAGGGAAGGGACTCCAGGTACAGCACAGTGTTACTCAGAATGAGTACCATGATTCTTGGTTAGGAAAATATGATTCCCTAAAGGATTAATTTCAGGAACAATTTTGGCCTTGTTTCTTTCTATTGGGCTCTGATTATAAAATCCTTGTGTGCATACAATAGTTTTAAAGACAAGGTCTAATGGAAAGGAACAAATAACTTCAACATAGAAATATGTGCAATCAGTAGTTCCTTCTCCTTGGGTTTTCAAATACATTTTATATTTTGTACCAAACATAATTTTACTAATTTTCTATAAAGTTCTCAGAATTTTTATTAGCAATCCCAGTTTAAGCACTTAGGAAATTCTGTTTTAAATATATGAAGCAAATAAAGTAAGCTGCATAAAATAATCAATGATACCTGAAAAACTCTATTCCACTTGACCAGATTTTATCATTTGAAGGAACACAAGAACACTATAGTTAAATCTTTTATTTCTCAAAAAAGAAATGATACACTAGCACATGGCCTTACCTATCATTCTTACTAGAAAAGGAAACACACTCAAAACTTCTAGGGTCCAACTAAAATTTGCTGAATTGAAGTTTGAAAGCTAAGGAGCATGGCAAAACAACCTGGAAAATGCTTGCTCAAATCATCTCAACTAAACAAAGCTGCACAATGGCAAGACATACAAAGAGAAAAAGAAATTAATATGATGAAAATCATTTTGACTCAACAATTAAAGATGCCCATGTAAATGACAAATCAGTCTAATCTTTGCACAAAAAATTCTATCTTGGCAGATTTTTAAAGAATCAGCTCTATAGATAACTGTGATACAATCTTTAATCAACTCCACTCTGAACACTGTGATAGCTAAAACTTTAAGATCATCTCGAGTGAACCTCTGCACAGGGACCACAAAATAAAGAATGAAAAGGAAACTGCCTTGTCAAGCTACCTGATTTCTTACAACACTTGCTCTATAGGAAACAGATCAGGTTTGTCATATGTTCCAACAGGGAGGCTCAAAATTTAGAAAGTGTAACAGGATAATCTCTCTATAAAGTTGATTATTCACCAGGAATACAATCCACAGAATGAGTCACTTAGCAAAGCATTACTCTGATATGACCAGGACACATTCTCAGAAATGCATCTTTAGGTTATTTCATTGTTGTCCCAACGATCAGACCTGGTTCATGTGGCCTTCTCCATGCCTATGCTGTATGGCATAACCCACTGCTGTAAGGCTGCAAACCTGTATGGCATATTACTGTACTGCATACTGCAGGCAACTGTACCACAATGGATAAATATTTTTACACTAAAACATATTTAACATAGAAAAGACAATAAAAATACAGGATAGGATATAAAAAATGGTCACCTGCATAGAGCACTTACTATGAATGGAGTTTGCAGGACTGAAGTTGCTTTGGGTGAGTCAATGAGTGAGTGGTGAGTGAATGTAAAAACCTAGGACATTATTATGTAGTCCTATAGACTTTATAAACACTGTATACTTAGATTTATAATTTTTTTCTTTTCTTCTATAATAATCTTAATAAAATTTTCAATTTTTAAAAACTTTTTGATTCTTTTCTAGTAACATGCAACTAAAAACACATTGTACAACTGTACAAAAATATTTTCTTTAAGTCATTATTCTATAACCTTTTTTTCTTTTTTTTTTTTTTTTAGTCTTTTAACCTTTTTTTGTTGAAAATGAAGACATAAACACATCAGCCTAGCCTGACAAAGGGTTGGGATCATCAGTATCACTGTCTCCCATCTCCCCATCCTGTCTGACTGGACAGTCTCCAGGGGCACTTAGAGCTGTCACTTCCTTCTGAAGACACCTTCTGGGATCCTCCTGAGGACCTGCTCTTCCTGAGGAGGTATCAACTGTTTTTAGAAATGTGTCCATTGTGGTTTGCTTCATTTGTTTTTTTTTTTTTTCTGTCACAGATCTGCTGATAAGCAGATAATGCACATGACACTCCTCTCTGGAGCTTGCTGAGATCTGCTACAGTATCTGCTAAATTCCTCACTATGAATTTTCTTGGGGGCTCTCTTTGTTTCCACTTCTCTTTCCTCTTCCTCAGTTGTGCATTCCTGTTCCAGTTCTACCAACTCCTCATTAGTTGATTCCTCAGGAACCTCCTCTGGGAGCTCCGCATAACCATCACTGTCCACACCCAGGTTACAGTTGTTTGCCAGCTCAGCCACAGCCTTGTTGGTTTGCATAGTTGCCTCATCCTTGGCAAATCCTTTGAAGCAGAACAAACCTCTCCTGTGTTTTCCAGATGCCATTCATACCTGCCTTGGGCATTGTGTCAAGCTAAGCAAGGTTCTGGCTGCAGTCACAGATGCTGTAATCTGTCTAGAACTGTGTCAGTGTCTCCTCAGTGTCTCCCTTAGGTGCTTTAACAGCCAGGACATAGACCTTCCTCAGGTTGCAGATCTTAAAAGCTGTGGTAAGCCCTTAATCCACTGAGTGGATCAAAGATAGCTTGGAGGAGAAATGTCACTTTGACCTTGGGATGAAGATCACTAACAAGAGAAGGATGTGTAGAAGTCTTATCAGGGAAGGGGGGAGAAATGACCCAAGCTTTGTATGCACACATGAATAATAAAACAATAAAAAAAAAGAAGTCTTATCAATGATAAGTAAACTCTCAAAAGAGAACTACTCCACTGCACTGGCACAGTGATTCAAGGGACACCTTGGACAAGGAGCCAAGTCATCTCTGCCCTGCTGCTACTGCTGCACACCAGCAGTGTGTGATGCCTCATGGGCTTCAGGGCCCTGGGTTCTCACAGTGCCAGGTCACAAAGGGTTTCCACTTGGTGCCTAAGCAAGACTGCTGTCCTGTCATTAAAAGCCTTGAAGCTTGTCCTTTCCTTGGCCTCCTCATAGATGAAAGTCCCTTCGGGCATCTGTTTCCAGAATATGGAGGTTTCCTCCACACTGAAGATCTGCTCTGGCAAGTTACTTTCCTTCACAATCAGCTTGTCTGGAGTTTCCCAAAACCCTTCAGTCATCTCCATAACAGCACTTGCAGATGCAGCACTCACTCTTAGACCTTATGTAATGAGTAACATCTTGAATTATTAAAACCAATCAATGCTACAATGAATTCAAGGTTATAGTGGGATCTAGTCTTTCAAGATTATGAACAAAATGCTTTGACATGATAGTCAAGATTCTGAGGGGCATGTGCTTCTGTGTCTAGTCTTCAATTCAGTTCATTAGAAATCTCTCTGCATCTGATATAGGCCCTTCCCAAATTTTTCTTAGTCTCACTGTCTTCAATAACGCAGATCCTTTAACAGTTTCCATTACTTCAACCATAGCTACAGTAGACATGTAGACATGACTGACTGTTTGGCGAGCAATAACCATCACTGACTTTTCCACTTTCATGGTCCTTAATCTCTTTTAATTCTGCTTCCAGGCCAATCAATATGCTTTTTATTGGCAGCATTTGCATAGTCTTTTGTACACTTTTGGGGTCATGATGAAAAACATAACATAAGATTAAATTAAGCACATGAGAAAATGATCCAATTAAGTGACACAGTAAACATGAGATGTATGAGACTACTGCAGGCATAGCATAGCACACTGCTTTACAGTAACTTCTTAAAAAATAAGTAGATGCAGGTAAATGAATGGAACTGGAGAACAACATCTTAAATGAAGTTAGCCAGGTTCAGAAAGTCAAAGGCTGCATGCTTTCTCTCATACGTGGAATATAAGCCCAACAGAAATATAAGCAATTTTATTTACACATAGAAATATATACAGAGCACGTATCCAAAAGTGGAACTAGTAGAGGAGACCAAGGGAGGAGGAAAAGAAGGAAAAACAGATAATGAATAATAATGAAATACATCACATCAGTACAGGAACAAGACACAAGGAAACATGCTGAAAACTGTGAAATACAGAATGGGGGAAAAGGTAAGGAAGTGCAGTGGAAGGGAGTTACAGTGACTTAAGCACAAGGCAAAAATCACACTGACCAGCAGACAGACACCTAAACAATGAAGGGCAAGAAGGAAAAACAAATCATGCTAAGTGGAGGGCACTAACAGAAGAGGGAGGATAAAAGAAGAAAGTAAAGAAGGTGTATATGGGTAATATACTTTCTAAACAAGAATGAATATAAAATTTTTAAACCTGTTGAACTCACCATAAAAGAGGGATATGGTAGAAAGGAAAAAAATGGAGGGGATGACCCATTTAGGATACAATACATATATGCATGGAAATGTCATAATGAAACTCTCTGTATAGATATCTTAAACAAACAAAAATGTTTTTTCTTTTTTCTCAAAAAGAGAGGACAGGAATGCAAATCAGGTCCTGTCTGGGGGCTGCTATCAATGGGGGGTGGAGAATATAAGGAAAGGTGTACAGGGTGAATATGGTAGAAATATTATGTACTCATGTGTGGAAATGAAACTATTCTACTGAAACTATTCTAAGAATGGGGAGAGAGGGAAACAAAGGAGAATGATGGAGAGGGTGAACTTACCAAAGATACACTATAAGTACTTTTGTAAATGTACAACAATAATATATTTAAAAATTTTTTTAAATAAGAATATACTCTAAAAATAATAGAATAAGTACATAAACTGTAATATAGTCTTCATTATCATCTAGCATTGTATACATAAGTATAATTGTATGTGCTGTACTTTTATACAATTGTCAGCACAGTAGGTTTGTTTACATCAGCATTGTGTAAAAACATAATCAAGTGTTACCCTAGACTTTTTGGGGGGTGTGAGTTGTTGGGGATTAAACCAAGGGGTTGTGCATGCTAAACAGGTGCTCTACCACTGAACTACATACACAGCTCTGCACTAGACTTTTCAAAGCTTATATCATCATTAGGCCATAAGAATTTCTCAGCTGCTTTAGAATTTTAAGGACCACTGTCATATGTGAAGTCCACTATTGACCAAGACACCATTATGCAGGACACTGACTGTATTTTAAAGTCTAAATGAAAAGAGAATAATTGGGATGAAGAATGAGTATAAACATTATACAATTATATCCATCTCTTTTTATAATTATGAATATAATATTTATGTCATTTTACCTGACATTATCCTAAAAATAATTTATTTATTTTTAATTTTATTTTATCATTTTTACATTTACTTACATGTGTATTCACTATTGGGGCCACCCCCCCCACCTTCAGGTAGAACCTGTTCCACCCTCTTGTTCTCTGATTTTGTTGAACAAGAAAAAACATAAAGATAAGAAAAACATGGCATTTTTGCTAATATGAGGTAAGGACAGCTATACAGGGAGATTCTTTGTGTTGTTCCCATGCAAATGTGTATTACAACCCAAACTGGTTCATCTCTACCAGACCTCTTCACTACTTTCTAGTCCCCTTCCCATAGTAGCCTCTGCCAGTTTAAGATTACTATATTCATTCCTATCCAGTGAGCACATCAATACCTTCAAGTTTTTGGTTTCTTTCCCTTTCGCTATACACAGTCTCCCCTTAAAGTGTGTGACCTATGTCCAATAATATTACTGCATTTGCAATTCTAATTCTTTAAGACTTTAAAGCAGTCTCTATGTGTGTGTAAATGTATATACACATATGGTGTAATTGTAGGTATTGACTATGTACTATACATGGTCTCAAATCTTTTTAAACAAGGTACCCCCTTACATATTAAATAAAAGACAATCTTGATATTCAAAACCATTTCCTTTCCTACTTAAAAATTTAGTTAATAAACTTTTCAAAGTTTCCCTCTTTTAGTTAATGTAATCTTCATTTGAATACTCAAGTGATCATCTTTCATATAAATATGCATTCTTCATTTTTTTCACAATCCCTAATGAAATAAAAATTACTCTAATGTACACCCTGAATATATCTGATTCAGACTTAAAAGTTTCTTTCTCTTAAGTCTTATCAAATTTCAATTATACTTTAATGTCACAAGTCAGTTTTGAGGGTTTTTTCCTAATCACTTGAGCATAGATTTTCTCTGTTTCGTGGCCATTAGAAGAAAATTTTATCTTCTAAGACTATTTAATAAACAATCTAATGATACACCTTTAGCTCCTAGAAAAACAAAAACAAATCAAACCCAAAACCAGCAGATGGAGAGAAATAATAAAGATCAGAGCCGAGATTAATGAAATCAAACCAAACAAACTATAAAAAGAATCAATGAAACAAAAAGTTGGTTCTTTGAAAAGATTTTAACAAGATTGGCAAACCCTTAACCAAAATGACAAAATGGAGGAGAGAGAACACTCAAATTAATAAAATCAGAGATGAAAAAGGGGACATAACCTCAAATACCAACAAAATCCAGAGAATCATTAGAGAGTAGTTTGAAAACTTATATTCAAGTAACTGGAAAATCTAGATGAAATGGATAAATTTGTAGATGCATATTACCAACCAAAGTTGAACCAAGAAGATATTAACTACCAAAACAGTCTCATTATATGCGATGAAACTGAAGCCATAATAAAAGTCTCCTTACAAAGAAGAGCCCAGGACCTGATGGATTCACAGCAAAACTTTACCAAACCTTTAAAGAAGAACTAACACCAATACTCCTCAAACTTTTCCAGAAAACAGAGAGGGAAGGAAAACTACCAAAATCAATCTATGAAGCCAGCATTATACTTATTACAAAGCCCAATAAAAATGTAATCAGAAAAGAGAATTATAGACCAATATCTTTAATGAATATAGATGCAAAGATTCTCAATAAAATACTGGCAAGCAGAATTCAACAACATATCAAAATGATCACACACCACGTCCAAGTCAATTTCATTCCAGGGATGCAAGGAAGGTTCAACATACATGATCCATAATGTAATACAGTACACAAACAGAAGCAAGGACAAAAACCACATGA